GACTTGTTTGATTGCTGAGAGGTCATTCAATAGTTTTTGGGGTGATTTAAAACAGGAGGTTGTGTTGCCATTAAAAATATAAAATATATTAGTAATTATGTCAATATTCAAGTTAGATTTACAATTTTTTGCCCAAAAAAAAGGGGGTGGTTCGGCTTCTACCAATTGTAGCCATGACTCAATTTCCAAACGCCTTGGAGTTAAAAAATTCGGTGGTGAATTTGTGCGAAAGGGGAGCATTATTATTCGCCAACGAGGAACTACATATAAGGGTGGCAAAGGTGTTTTTTTTGGTAGAGATTACACTGTTCATGCTGAATATGATGGAACTGTAAAGTATTATAAAAGGTTCCGAGGACGAGTTAATAGAACATTTGTGGAAGTTTTGCCCCTTTCTTAAAAAGTTTATATATTAAAATTACAATAGGATGATTAAAATAAATTTTTGGCTGAAAAAGTCAGACGCCGACCAAGGCAATTTAGAATATATGACTATTAGTAATCCAAAAATAGACAAAACTGAAAAATTTGCATGAGGCAATCGTTATGTTTGCGAAATTTATTTTTCAGACACAAAAAAATCTTTTCCATGCCATGGAATTAACCCAATTGAAACTCTTTATTTTGCCTCAGAGTTTGTAAAAATTCATTGCCAAGGGCTTATTAATCGCGGTTATATTATCAGCGAAGTAGAAAATGGTGAAGTTTGGAAATTAGAAAAAAAAGATCCTTGAGTTAACTTGGAAGAAAAAATAGATGAAATAAAAAACAACAAAAAAATTTCCCAAGAAGATAAGGACAAAATACTGGGAATTTTGAAAGGAACTTTTGGTAAATTACCGCACATGAAAGATAGATTAAATCAAGCAGTAAATAAATTATAAAAAACATGTCTTCAATAAAAATTTTGTTGTTTATTGCTATTCCCCTCACCCTTCTTATCATAGTTTATCACTACTATTACATTTTACAAAGTATTAACTGGCAAGTGTCGTTATTGTGGTAAAAAAATAGAAAATCGGTGAAGGAGAAAAATAGGCTTTATTTATACTCCATGAAGGAAACCGTAATTTATTTTGTCAAAAAAAAAAAAAAAACAGGTTAGTCTTATCACTCCTTTTAATAATTGAGGTTAAACACTTGAATTATTAATCGTATTATAAATGTTCCGTCTTGATAAAAGAAAAATTTTTCTCCTCTATCGGTATTATCTGCTAGGTAAAATCCAAAAAGTAGAGAGCGAAAACGAGAAAGAAGAAAAAAAAATTATTTGGCTTAATAATTGCTTAGCCCAAGAAAAATTACTGAGTGAAAAAATTTCCAAAAACTTAAAAACTGGTTGGGATTTTTCTCGTTTCCCCCCTTTGGAAAAAGCAATATTAACTTATGCTTCCTATGAACTAATTTTCGGAAAAAATACTGATTTAGCCAAAATGATAATTGACCAAACAATTAATTTCAGTAAAGTTTATTTGGAAGAGAGTAAATATAAGTATGTTAATAAGGTACTTGATTTATTAATCAAATATAGTAAAACAAAAAATATAGTAAAACAAAAAATATAGTAAAATCAGTCATGGCAAACTTCAAAAGTCAAAATAGTTCAATTGAAAACAAAATACGAGAATTCCAATCCGGAGTAGACTACGTTTTTACTGGAGAAAAATATCATGCTCCCAACAAAGTAGAAACCAAAGGTTATACAGTAAGAAATTATGACATAAATTCTCCTCGATTAAGAAAAGTCCTGTGGGAAATGCTATCACGGCAAGTCGCTATCCTCACGTCGTTTGATTTTGTCGGAAAATCCTATGTTTCTGAGAGTTTAAATAGGAATAATGCTAGTTATTATTGTAACATTAAAGACTATTATAATGGTGACAACGTGATTATTCATAATCAAGAAAAAGAAAATCGTTCACCCTGACTTTCTATTTATAATGTTGAAAACAACAATAAGCAAAAAGAGCAAGAGTTAGTTCAAGCTTATCAAGTGGCCGAACGTCGCTATAACGAGAAAGTTAAACAAAATGGTTCTGAGCCGAAACTTAATATTCCGCCCTCAGGAACAAAGTGTTGAAATTGCTATGAAGTAATATTAGTCAAGGACGATATTTTGTGGAAAATATGCGACTTTCAAATGGTATTTTTACCGAATGTTTGAACATGTTGAAGAGCATGGTTGCCAAGCGAAAAATTATGATCCGACCCACCGAAATAATTATCGATATAGTCCTAACTGAGAAAAGATTTGAGAAGAGTCCAAGCAAAAAGAACACGATTATTCCTGCCAGGATTGCTTAAACAAATTTCGCAAAGAAATAATCGGCAATTTAATTTATTTAGAAACATGAGAGGAAAAAGACCATGATGATATTACTCGAACTAAACAAATTATTACCGAAATTGATAATAGACTAAAAGAATTAACCGAAAGCGGCAGATATAACAATTGTGGCATTAAAATTTGCTGTGCCGAACACGATAATCACCAGGAAAATAATAACCATTATCATCACGGATTAATTAAAGGCGGCAAAAACAAAAATCTGCTGACTAGTTCTAATTCTAGTAGTTCACAAAATAATAATCAATTAATAAGCGACAGCGAAAAAGGCCAACTTCTTAATTATTTTCTTGAAAATGCTATCAAAAAAATCACTATTGATAATGGAAAACTTATAATTGAATATAATAATGATAAGGAAAAGAAAACATTAGAAATCGACAATCCCTTTCTCTCTCAGAATTACAATCTAATAATAATTCTGCTATGCCAAGTAAAAGCAATAGTTCTCTCTATGTGGCGTTAACTATCGGAGGAGTTATTTTGGTAGGACTTACCTTGATTTTAGTAATAAGAAAAAAATCTTCTCGCAAATAAAAATTAAAGAAATTCCCGCATGGAAAGACTTCCATCAGAATTTCTAACTAATAAACGACTTTTTCTGGTACCGTCAAAATATATTCCGTGCTTGCTATTAAGTATTCTCATGGCTGGTATTAGTTGGTGTTTAATGGCCGATTTCCTATTTTCCTCGGTATAACATTTTTTTACTTCCACTACCACCAAAAAATTACTATCTTTTCTAATCACCAGGTCAACCCTCAGCGCATTATGACCTTTATGACCAATCGGAATGGCATATTCAATAATGAACTGGTTTTTGCTATAACCTTTTTTTGCCAACAAGTATTTAATTAATCTAATTCTTTGGTATTCTTCAGTATAATTACCATCAACATCATATTTTTTGGCTCGCAAAATACCACGAATCGGACAGATTAAAAAACCTTGGTCATGAATTTTTTTCTCTACTGATTCCTTTTCGGAATTTATAAAAACAATAAATAGTAAAAAAATTAGTAATATTATTATTCCGATAACTATTTCTCAATTATCTCTCAATAGATTCGCAATGTCCATATTTATAAAATTTTAATAATAAGAGCTTGCTAAAAACAAGGAAAAATGAATTATGGAATGTTTATTTTGTAAAATTATTGACAAAAACAAAGAGCAAAAAGAGGACATTATTGTTGAAAATGAAGGAGCAATAGCAATTTTAGATATTCATCCTGTCAGCGACGGTCATATCTTGCTTATTACCAAGGAACATTTTGCTAACATTAGTGAAATTAATGAGAAGAGTTGAAGTTGTTTATTACCGCTCATGAAGAAAATTATTAATAAATTACAAGCAGTCTTCAATCCAGCTGGATTTAATATTATTACTAACATGAATGAAATAGCCTCGCAGAGTGTCTTTCATCTCCATATTCATATAATCCCTAAATACGAAAGGGGCAAAGGATTTATTTGAACTAGCAAACCTCAATTGAAACTTAGTTTATCCGAAATAACCGACCAACTAAAGCAGAGAATTTAAAGTTAGTTATGGAAGTAGCAAAAAAAAAAAAAAAAACAAGCGAAATGTCGAAAGCAGCCGAAACAGATAGCGTGGACATAAACAACAAGCCACAAGACAACAACAAAAGAATAGATATTGACTATAATAATTTGCCCGAGGAAAAAAGTCATTGGGAAAAATATCAACTCTACTACTTGGTTTTCGGCAGTTTTTTTGTTACTGCTGTAATCATCTTAATTAGTAACC